GAGAACAGTCTACTCACTAATGCCCTCTTTGGCGCTTGCTTACCTTCGCAGCTACATGGCAGCCACTGGCCAAGGCACCTGAGTTCTGTTCTTTCTTTTTCTTGCAGAGGCAGGACGGGGTGGCAGAGGCGGGACGGGGTGGCAGGGGCGGGACAAGGTGTAAGGGGCGAGACCACGGCACCCTGAGTTCTGAGCTCTGCCCTATCCAATGTTGGGTTCCTGGGCCAGGCTGTCATTACACTCCCCCCTCACCCCCCTCCCGACTTACCACAGAGGACGTTCACACTGTTGTAGGGTGACCAGAAAAGCCGAAAGAAGGTTTGCACTTGGATCATGCACTGTTTCCAGGCCCCAGCTTCCTAACCCTCACAAAGGTAAGGACAGAGTAGAGGAAAACAGGTATTATGCCTTGGCTCCTCCTAAGAAAGGAAGGGGGAAAGCTGAGTAGATGTGAGGGTTCTGTTAATTCTTGAAAGAACCTAAAATGTAGGGAAGCACAGAAATGGAGTATTTGGCTCACGAGGGAGTTGGGAAGAATCGGTATGACAAGGCGCAAAATTTGGGTTGGCTTTCCTAATACCAACCCTTTTGCTCTGAAGCTAGTCTGTCAGAGCCCGGGGCAAGTTTAGACCTGATTTCCCCATCCAAGTTCATTGCTCTTGTAAAAGGTCAAAGTGCAATGCTGCTGCTCTCCCAGAGGTGGAGCACACGTGAGAAAGCAGTGACTAATTTTTTTCTAGAAAACTGGATCTCTGTCCAGGACCCCACAGCACTCCTTCCAGCAAGGCCTTTGTGCTGCGAATTACCACCCACATGGAGGCCCCTCAGCGCTGATCCTGAACAGCAGGAGTGAGCATTGCAGGCAGCGAGGGGGTGAGAGTTCACTGATCCATAAGCTAGAAAAGGAAGAGAAATGAAACTGGGCTGCAGTGGCCCCACCCAGGGACAGCCCGTGGCGCAGGAAGGTCGAGTTTTCACCCTCAACGCAAATTAATCTTCCTACAGCCACCACTTACTATAAAAGCTATTCCTGCTTAAGAGCCATCAGGCTTTCAAGTCTGGGCAGCTCTTCAAATTCTAAGGTTAAAAAATAACATTTCTCCCCATCATCATTCCACATCTTCCCTAACCTATACTCATCCTCCAAAGTCCCTAGTCAGCCTGGGGTCTATCCTCTCGGCGTGAGGGGGGCCGTAACAACACTGGCCTGAGATGGGACAGGCAGGCTTCGAGCCTAGTCAAGAACAACATTAGAGGAAGTGTCTTGAGGATGTTCTATTTGAAAACAAAAATACAAGGTGTTAAAATATTTTAAGAATGCTGTGAGCACCTGTAATGGGATAAGATGTGACTTGCAGAGAAACTGTTACCTGGGCTCTACGATGACAATTCAGAATCACTAGGCAGTAGTGTTTCAAGAGCCCAGGCCTCGGCTGTGAATTTGAAGGCTCCCCTACAATTCCCCTGCCACCGGTAGGCTATTTCACATGAAAAAGTGTCACTTATTCCTCCCCTCTCCTTTATGTAATCACTCACCCATGTTTGAACTGTTCGAAATGAATTAACAGACCTGGCCAGTTTGGCTCAGGGGATAGAACATCAGACTCAGGACTGAAGAATCCCAGGTTCCGTTCTGGCCACGGGCATGTACCTTGGTTGCAGGCTCCTCTTCGGCCCAGACCCTGGCAGGGTCCTGGAGGCAACCTATCGATGTGTTTCTGTCACATTGATGTTTCTCTGTCTTTCCCTCTCCCACTCTCTCTAAAGATAAATGGGCATGGGGCCTGGGTGGGAGTGGGGGGGAGATGAACTAACAACTAAAAGAAAATATGAGGTAATCCAAAAACACCAAAAAGAAATTCCATATCCTAGTCGGTTTGGCTTAGTGAATAGAGCGTCAGTCAGCCTATGGACTGAAGGGTCCTGGGTTTGATTATGATCAGGGGCTCATGCCTGGGTTGCAGGCTCATCCCCAGTAGGGGGCATGCAGGAGGCAGCCAATTGATGATTCTTTCATCATTGATGTTTCTATTTTTCCCTCTCCCTTCCTCTCTGAAATCAATAAAAATATGTGTTTTTAAAATTCCATAGTGCCACTAACAACTACCAAAATGATGTCAGGCTCTTTGTACTTCCCATGCTCAACCAAACCTGCCCAAACCACAGGCACTCAACAATTCATTGAGTAGATTCACATGAGAACACACAAAAGGTAATTTCAGAATTTAAAACAAAGCCGCAGACATTTAAACTTTTTTTATTATTATTTTTTTAATCCAGAGAAAGTAGAAGCATGAGTTCTGGGAGGCAGAGGAGGGGCAGTAGAGACAGCAACTGTGTCCCCACTGCACTGAGCCTCAGTGAGGCTTCTCCAAGCTCCTGCCAATGAGCAGGAGTCCAGAGTGGTTTTCTCTTCAGGACCACAGACAAGACGTCTGTAGTGTGCTTCCTTAAGTAGGAGATGCCCAGCTAACCCTTCTAAAAGGTTATGGAGCCTGGGCTGTCTTACGTTGGATCAGCCCTTCCTGAGGCTGGAGGCACCCATGAGAAATTAGTATGGCCGTTTTGTCCTTTACACTTTATATCCTACCCATCGCCCCCCTCCCCCACTCACCCCCAGGATGTACAAAAGGACAGTCTGAGGGTAGGGAACATTTGGACTTTCAATTCTGGGATGGGTGGGAGGGGAAGAAAAGCTGGGCCCAATGCAGCTTCTGCCCTCCCCCAGCCCAGTATCGTTCCTCTCCTTACAGCAGCCTGGTGAGCACTCATTTGCTGTCATTGGCCTTCAGTCCGATTTCCTGGTGGAAAGGCACCTGACCCTGGAGTGAAGGAGAGCAGAGCTTTCCTGTCAGTGCATAAGGGAGGGGCTGGGAGAAGATGGTGTGGGATTGTACTTCCTGGATGTGTACATGTTTTCTCTGTCTCCATGTGCATAGGGTGAGGACTTGCAGAGGAACTGGAGTTTAAAAGATAAAACTCCCGGTATTGCGAATATGAGATGGGATTTACTCTCCTTTCTTATCCTACCTCCCTGGTGTTTTTCCCCAAAAAGGAAAATTACTGGTTCCTGGCAAAGGGTCCCGAACACACCAGGGCAGAACAGTGGCCCGGACCAGGGACAGAGAGCTTTGTTCTTTCCCATCTCAGCCCTGCACGCCCCCCCCCCCCCCAACAGCCCCCGCCTCGGTCCCCCTGTATGTGTGTGCGCGGAGCTGTCAGAGGTCAAAGCCCGAGGTAACATCAAGGACCCCATTTGTTACTTTCCACGAGTTGCCCGAGTATCAAAAGGCAACGTGCAGCCGGGACCGGCTTGGCTCAGTGGAGTGTCGGCCTGCGGACTGAAAGGTCCCGGGTTTGATTCCGGTCAAGGGCATGTACCTTGGTTGTGGGCACATCCCCAGTAGGGGATGTGCAAGAGACAGCTGATCGATGATTCTCTCTCATGGATGTTTCTAACTCTCTATCCCTCTCTCTTCTTCTCTGAAAAAATCAATTAAAAAAGAAAAGGCAACGTGCATCCAGGGCTGGAGTGGGGACCTACCGAGTGCTCTGCTCAGGAGGCAGGGACTACACTGTCTCCATCCAGGTTCTCATCAGCCTCGGCTCTACTGAGGTCCAGGTCAGAGGGTCCTTTGTTGGGGTGTTGAGGCTGTCCTGTGCTCTGTGGAATGGCTAGTAGCATCCCTGTGTTGAGCCACTAGGTGCCAGTAGCACACAACTGCTCCCCACGACTGGGCTAAAGGGGAGTGCAGCCAGGAATCTTCCACATGGGAAGGAGCCCAGGTGGGTCCAGCCAGGCCACGGCTGCCAAGGCCCAGCACAGCGATGTGCGAAGTGCGGAGGGGAGAGTGAGCCCCGAGGCCCCGGGAAGCGAAGAAGACCCTCCAGATAGCAGACAAGCTGTCGCTAAGGAAGATACTTCAGAGGGTGTCAGCCGGGCCCTGAGAAGAGCCAGACGCCAGCTGAGCCCCCACTTCTGTAACCAAGGGACCACCTCGGCTTCCTCCACCTTTGGCTCAAGCGCGAGGTCCGAGGCAGTGGGATTGCCTCCTGGAGGAGCCGGTGGGACCTCTGCTTCCTGAGGACAAAGCCGAGGTCTCCTCACCGGCCCGAGGCAGGACAACAGGAAGGAAACCGCTCCCGCGCATGTTTACTGTCCTACCTGGTCCCGTGCCCAGTCCCCCAACAATTCCGCATGAAAATGCCATTCAAAAAAGAAATCCACAAATTTAAAACCTGTAAAAAAAAAAAACAAACCAAAGCAGACCAGCTCTGCTGTAGGGAAAAGAGAAGGAAATGCTGGACGAGAGCAGCACAAAGTGAGCGAAGAAAAGGCATGGATGTGGGAGTGACGAGCTTTATAAGACGAAATAAGTCCATAACTGAACTCAGTAAGAAGGCCCACAGTAGGGTTCCTTCAATGTTTTAGCTCCACTCCTTTCTTCTTTTTTTAAGAGGGAAAAAAAAAAAAGTAACAAAATCCTTTAAAAGCCTTCTCAAATAAGTGCAACACGTCAAAAAGTGTTTTTCATAAAGATAAGTTCCAGGCTCCAAGTCTCTGGGATAGGGGAATTGCATATTGCAGTTTAAAAAAAACAAAACAACACATAAAACTTTATTTGCAAAAGAAAGGGGGGGGAAAGGGGGGGGGCTTTTTTGATTTCTTTGAACGTAGCGTGCGCGCGCACACACACACAGCGTCTGGCTCCCTGGTTCCAGGCTCCCTCGGGCGGGAGAGCAGGAGTGCTGAGACTTCTCTCCGAGGCCCAGGCCTGAGGCAACGCCGGCCCCACAGGTGATCTGTGTTCCGGGCTGGCCCTCTGGAGTCTGGGGGTTTCAGCATCTCCAAGAATTCATTTATATCTCACAAGGATGGGGAGGGAGTCCTAGAGGAGGAATGAGCCAGGGGGTAGGGAGGGAGGATGACGAGCATGAGACCCATTCTGACTTCCAGCTGCTCGCACACCCTACCCCTCAGCAGGAGACTCTTACCTCTGTTACTTGTTGAACTGGAAAGAATAGACCCCGTGGTCTGAGGGAGCATCCAGGGTCACCTGGCTTTGCTGGCCGCTGTTCTCCTGTGACCACAGCCAAAGCAGAAGCGTCACCGGCGCCTCCTACCTCCCTCGGCGCTAACGCAGCCCACATACACCCGCCGAGGGAGAGCCTTCCCGACCTCCCACCCACCCCACCCACCCGGGCCAGTGAGCCCGCACCGCACTGTCCCCCGCCCGCCGCACCCCTCCCCGGCACACAGGGCAGCCTGTTCCCGGGAAACAATGGTCAGTACGAGCCAGCGTCCTGCTGTTTACTATCTTCAAGGACACAACCGAAGTCTTTCCTTCCTACATTCTTCACATTCCTACCGGCTATTTGTGAACTCGGAACCAGCACCATTGTGAGAGGGAGACAGGTCTGGGATGGGAAAAGCTGCCTCTTTCATTTTCATTTTCTTATCCCCACCCCAGAGAGACTGTAAGCGCTCTCACCTCCACGGACACGCTGGAAGGAGGCCCCGGGGGGAACTGGGAGAGGTAAGCGCTCTGCATGGCGGCCGCCGTCGGCAGGTACTGGAATGAGAAACGCCAAAGGCTGAGGGATCCTGGCTGCACTGACGGCACCGGGGAAGCTTTAAAACTGCTGATGGCTGCGGCCCATCCCCAGAGATATTAGTTTGTCTGATTTGCTTTTTAAAAATATGTTTTTATTGCCGAAACCGGTTTGGCTCAGTGGATAGAGTGTCGGCCTGTGGATTCAAGGGTCCCGGGTCTGATTCCGGTCAAAGGCATGTTCCTTGATGCCCACAACCAAGGTACATGCCCTTTGACCGGAATCAGAGGCACTGATCAATGATTCTCTCTCGATGTTTCTAACTCTATCCCTCTTCCTCTCTGTAAAAAAATCAATAAAATATATATTTTTTAAAATACACACAACTTAAAAAAATATGTTTTTATTGATTTGAGAGAGAGGAAGGGGGAGAGAGAGAGAAAAAGAGAGAGAGAGAGATCCATTGGCTGCCTCAGGCGCGCACCCTGACTGGGACTGAGCCCAACCTGGGCATGTGCCCTGATCGGGAATCGAACTGGCCGCCTTTAGGTGCACTGGATGACACTCAACCAACTGAGCCACACCAGTGAGGGCTAATTGTCAAATTCCGTTGTGCTTTTTAAAAGCACTTCAGGTGCTACACTGGCTTAGAGAGACTTATACACACCTGACTCCTTCTCTCCCCTTGCTTGCTTTCTGCCTTACCTCTCTGCCCGTAAGCCCTCCTGGGAAAGTCAGAAGGCAGCAGGCCTACAAGAAACCTAAAGCGCTTCATCCATCCTTCTTGTTATTATTTTGATAAGGATTTCTAGGAAATGTGAGTGAACTCCGAGGTAAGCTAGTTTGTGGATAGAAACACCATTTGCTTAGTTTCATGAGCAGAAATCACTTAACAGAAGTGGGCTTTGGAGCAGAATGGCTATCCTAGCTCAAGATTATCTGTTAGGTTTAATGCCTATTCTGACTGTGCCCTCAGTGGTCCTGGAGCGATTCCGTCATCATAAGTATTTATTCTGGAAAGTATCACACAGGTGTTCCTTCCCCAGGAGGAGCTCGGCACCAGAAGCAGTCAGCTCACCGCGCCCGTGGAGCTGAGGGAGAGGTGGCCCAGCTGCTGGGTGAGCGGGCCCATCAGGGAGGCAGGCTGCAGGGAGAGGGGGTGGTCCATCCCCGGCGTCAGCACGGAGCCCTGGAGGCAGCGACAGAGGACAGGGTCAGTGGGCAGCGTTCTGGGAGGCTGCCTGCGGCAGTGACCCCTGGCTGCTGGGACCGTTTAAATTCCTGGAAAACGAGAGGTGACCAGCTACCCAGTTATGCAACAGGCGTAGGCACTCTGCCCGTCCGTCTGGATGGATCCCTGCCTAAGAATAGCACACTCACAGCATAAAGGCTGCATAAAGGCTTGGGCCAGAACTCACACCCACACCCCCTCTCCTCAAACCCCAGTGTTTTTCTTTACATCAAATTGCCTCTTCGCATCTGCCCGCTTCTGAACACTCACGGAAGGCTGTATGAGGTATGACTGGTGGTGCATCCACGACGGGGTAGGAACTTGGAGAGGAGATGTCTGAGCGACTCTCTAATACAAGCAAAAACACACAAGCAAAAACGTTAATTATCTAGAAACCATTGTTTTGCCCAGTGATCTGACAATGTTCAGACAATCCTCCAAAAGCTGGAGGTCCCCATCAGAAATAGGAACATTAATATAGAGAGCAAACTGACTGCCGGCAGAGGGAAGGGGGGGGGGGAGCTAGGTTAAAAAGGTGAAGACACAGAGCACATTAGGTGATTACCAGAGGGAAAGGCGGGTGGGGGGAGTAGGTGGGGTAAGCACACAATACAATATACAGATGATATGTTATAGAATTGTACCTTTCAAACCTATAATTTTATTAACCAATGTCAACCCAATAAATTCAGCTAAAGAATATATATACATATTTCTTTGGCCCTGGCCAGGTAGCTCAGTTGGTTAGAGCACAGTCCTGATACATCAAGGTTGCAGACTCAATCTCTGGTCAGAGCACTTGCAAGATCAACCAATGAATGCAAAAAATAAAGATGAATATACGTGTGTGTGTGTGTGTGTGTGTGTGTTAGAGGCCTGATGCATGAAGAATGGGCCTTCCTCCCCCTGGCTGCTGGCACTGAATTTGCTTTGGCTGGAACCGCCTTTCTGCTCTGGCTTGGAGCTGCCTTTCTGCCTTCCCATGCTGCCCAGAGGCCTGGAGTGGCGGGGGTGGTGCAGAATGCCTGCATCATTGCCATGGCGATGACACAAGTGTCCCACCCCACCTCCAGCAGCATGGCGCCCGGGTATGCAAATTAACCTGCCATATTTGGTGGGTTAATTTGCATACTCACTCCTGATTGGCTGGTGGGAGTCACACAGATTCAGTCAATTAGCATGTTACTCTTTTATTTCCTTATATATATATAAAAAACATATTAGATATATATCTACCCTGTTCCCCGAAAATAAGACAGTGTCTTATATTAATTTTTGCTCCCAAAGATGCGCTAGGTCTTATTTTCAGGGGATGTCTTATTTTTCCATGAAGAAGAATACAGTACACATTTATTGTTAAATGAAAATAAAGGAAATTTATTACCTGTATACGGTACAGTAGTACGGTAGTTGTCAACACAAACCAGACAAACTGTGAATCCTACAGTATCAAGAATTTACTCATTTATTCAATGACAATCATGTCATCATCTTCTGGAACATCATCATAACAATCCAATTCCTGAATTTCCTGCGACTCCATTTCTTTCAGGATCAGTGGACCAAATCTCTCATGTTTAGCCTACGAGGGCCCTTATTTTCGAGGGAATGCCTTATATTTCACTCAGAAGGAAACCTGTAAATAGGTCTTATTTTCGGAGGATGTATTATTTTTGGGGAAACACGGTATATCTATATCTATATATCTATATCTATATCTATATCTATATCTATATCTATATCTATATCTATATCTATCTATATAAAACATATTAGATATATACCCTGTTTCTCCAAAAATAAGACAGTGTCTTATATTAATTTTTTCTCCCAAAGTTGCGCTAGGTCTTATTTTCAGGGAATGTCTTATATTTCCATGGCTAGGTCTTATTTTCGGAGGATGTCTTATTTTCGGGGAAACACGTATATATTTAAAACATATTATATATATATCTCTCTAATATGTTTTTTTTAATATATATTTTATTGATTTTTTACAGAGAGGAAGGGAGAGAGATAAAGAGCTAAAAACGTCGATGAGAGAGAAATATTGACCAGCTGCCTCTTGCACACCCCCTACTGGGGATGTGCCCACAACCCAGGTACATGCCCTTGACCGGAATCGAACCTGGGACCTTTCAGTCCGCAGACCGACGCTCTACCGCTGAGCCAAACCGGTTTCGGCTATATCTAATATGTTTTAAAGCATATTTTTATTTAAAACATATTTATATTTTTAAAGCATATATATACATATACACATATATGTATATGTATATATATATATGCTTTAAAAACATAATAGAAACATTATGAGTAAACTTGTTTTTATAAAATTAGCAACTCTTACACCACAACAAATAACCCAGTTTAAAAATGGGCATCCTGGAGCTGAAGCCCTAACAGCTTAACCTCTGTAGGGGTTCAGAATGAGTCACCCAAGATGTGCCTCTGTGTGATGCAGAATATTTTGAGCTGAAGGCAGCTGAGGCTCTACAAGAGAAACTTGTGCCCCCACTTCCTCCCCTCCCCTTCCTTTACTTAGAAGGATCTGCATTGGGCACCTTGCCCCCAGGGAAAACTTATCAGAGATAACCGTTTCCGTCTACCTATTGGGCAGGGCAAACTACCAATTATTGAACACCTGTTCTTCTCACCCTTCTCCCCTCGGAAGCCCCCAAAGTGCCTTACCCCACCCATCCTTAGCGCAGAATGCCATGTATACCTCATTCTAACTTTCCGTCCCTGATTCTTTCATGTCTGTGAAGGTTTGGCACTGATGTGGATGCTTCACCAGGGAAATCAGAACATAACCAATACTACTGTATTTTTAAAAATCTATTTTTAGTGATTTCAAAGAGGAAGGGAGAGGAGAGACAGATAGAACTATCAATGATGAAAGAGAATCATTGATCAGCTGCCTCCTGCGTGCCTTACTATTGGGGTCAAGCCCACAACCCAGGCCTGTGCCCTGACCAGGAATTGAACTATGACCTCCTGGTTTATAGGTCAACACTCAACCCCTGAGCCACACCAGTTGGGCATACTACTACATTTTTTAAAATTAAAAAACAAATTAAATAAATTAGTACTTGATTTTATATAAAGTTGAAAAAATAAGAATAAAAGTGGGCAAAGGATTTAAATAAATATTTCTTTAAGAACATATACAAATGGCTAATGAGCACATGAAAGAGGCACAAAAATCATTCACCGCCAGGAAAGTGTCAATAAAAACACAATGAGACACCACTGCACATCCACTAGGGTGACTACAATGAAAAGGATGAAATAGTGCTGGCCAGTGTGGCTTAGTTGGTTGGCGCGGTGATCATGGATCTCAGGTTTGATTCTGGGTCAGAGTACATGCCCTGATTCAATCCCTGACCAGGGCTCATTTAAAAGGCAGCCAATCAATATTCCTCTCTCATATCAATGTCCCTCTCTCTCCCGTACTCTCTCTAAAATCAATTAATGCCCTGGCAGGAGCAGCTCAGTAGGCTGAACATTGCCCCACGCACTGAAAGGCTGCAGGTTTAATTCCCGGGCAGGCACATACCCAAGTTGCCGGCTTGAAGCCCAGTCTGGGGTGCTGGCAGGAGGCAGTTGATCGATATTTCTCTTTCACATCGATGTTTCTCCCTCTCCCTTCCTCTCTCTTTAAAACCAATAAAATTAAAATCAATGTTTAGAAAACGACAATAAAAAATATAAAAAGGACAATAGCAAGTATTATGAACTGTAGGAGGGAACATAAAATGGTTCTGCAACTTTGGAAAACAGCTGGCAGTTCCTCAAATTAATAACTGATAAATCAATAACAAAGTGAGGTATATGATTCAGTCATAAAAAAGAATGAAGTCCCGATACATGCTACAACATGGACAAACTTTGAAAACCTGCTAGCTGAAAGAAACCAGACACTATGTTGTATGCTTCCATTTACTATGAAAGTGTAGAATAGGCAAATCTACAGGCAGAGGAAGTATATTAGTGGCTGCCAGGGGTTGGATGGAAGGAAAAATAGGGAGTGACTACTAATGAGCAGTTTCTTCCTGAGGGGATGCAAATGCTCTGGAATTAGATATTGGTGATAGTTGTGTAACTTTGTAAATATACTCCACACTACTGATTTGTACACTTTAAGAGGGTGACTTTATTGTATGTAGTATTATGATGCATTTCTAACTTCTCATTGCTATTTTTTTCTTTTTTTGATTTAAATTTTTTTTATTGATTAAGGTATCACATATTTGTCCTCATCCCCCAATTCCCATCCCAAACCCCTCCCCAGGAATGTCCCCACCCCCCTGTTGCCCTTAGTCAATTTTTTTCATTTTAAAACATCCTACCTAATAAAAGAGTAATATGCAAATCAACCATCACTCTGCTCCACAAGTCACACCCACCAACCATGCCCACTAGCCAATCAGAGCGAGTATGCAAATAAACCCAACCAAGACTGCTACAGCCACAGAGAGCAGGAAGGAGATGCTTTCCCAGCAAAGGAGGAAGCCAAGCTTTCTGCCTGCCCTTGCCGGCCTAAGCCTCCACTCAAGGCTACCAAGTTTCAGTTATAGAAGGTAAACTAATCCAAACAGAAACCGCTGCTGCCACTGAGTGAGCAGGAGGCTTGGCTCCGCTCCAGGCTACAAAGTTTCAGTTGTAGAAAGTAAATAAATTCCCAGATACCAGGGCCTCCATTTGGGTTGCTGGGTGGTGTACCTGGCCTGCAAACCACACAGGCCCCTCACCCAGGCCGCCCCACACCCCAAGGGAACCCCCACCCTGATCTGGGACACCCTTCAGGGCAAACCAGCTGGCCCCCACCCGTGCACCAGGCCTCTATCCCATCTAATAAAAGAGTAATATGCAGATTGACCATCACTCCAACACACAAGATGGCTGCCCCCATGTGGACAAGGATCCTGCTCCCATGTGAACACAAGATGGCCAGCTGGGGAGGGCAGTTGGGAGGGACCAGGCCTACAAGGGAAGGCAGTTGTGGGTGATCAGGCAAGTAGGGAAGGGCAGTTAGGAGGCACCAGGCCTGCAAGGGAGAACACTTGAGAGGGACCAGGCCTGCAAGGGAGGGCAGTTGAAGGCAATCAACCCTGCAGGGGAGGGCAGTTAAGGGTGACAAAACCAGCAGAGGAGGGAAATTGGGGGCAAATGGGCTGGCAGGGGAGCAGTTAGACATCAATCAGGCTGGCATGGGAGTGGTTAGGGGGTGATCAGGTTGGCAGGCAGAAGCAGTTAGGGGCAATAAGGAAGGCAGGCAGGTGAGCAGTTGGGAGCCAGCAGTCCTGGATTGTGAGAGGGATGTCTGACTGTTCGTTTAGGCCCAATCCCAGTGGCAGTCAGACATCCCTCAAGGGGTCCCAGATTAGAGAGGGTGCAGGCTGGGCTGAGGGACAATGCTCCTCCCCTTCCCATCCCCCACTCCCATCCATGTGCATGAATTTCGTGCACTGGGCTTCTGGTATAATATAAATGTGAATTATATCTCAATTTTAAAATGAAAAAAAAAAATTAGCAATGAGAAGTTAGAAATGCATCATAATAAATAAGTAGAGTTTATTTCATAAATATAAGGATTGCTCAAAATCAGAAGCACATTAAATCCAAATATAAGAAGAAAGCCATAGAATAATACTAGATGCTGAAAAGGCATTTGATAAAATCCAGCAGCTATTTATTTTTTTTTAATCACAAATAAAATAGGGACTAGAAACTACTTACATATATTAAATATCATTACCAAAAACTAGCTGCTAACATTAATCTAAACAGTCATATTAAAATCACTGTAAGCATAGTAACCTATCTTGTAGTAAGGTTAAATAAATGAAATTAGATAAGAGCACAATTGACATAAGATTGGAAAGGAAGATAAACTATTGTCTTGCACTGATGTTATAATTATATACCTGGAAACCTAAGAGACTCAAGTAAAAAAGAAAATTCTAGTAGTAATAAGAAAATGTTATAAGTTAGTTGCATACTAAATAGATGAACATAAATTCATAAGTTTTTTTCAAGTGTATCTAGAAATGCTTATAAAAATGATAGAACACTTAGAAATATTATATATTGAACAAGAAAAGCATAAAGCCTACAAAAACAAAACTAAAATTTTATTTAAGGACACAGAAATATTTAAAAACATGAAAAGAAATACCATATGTTGAGTGAAGAGGTTAGCACTTTAAAAAATGCCAGTTCTCTGGCTCAGTGGGTAGAGCACTGGCCTGCAGACTGAAGGGCCCTGGGTTCCATTCCGGTCAAGGGCCGAACTTTGGTTCCCGGCTCCATTGGGGGCCCTGGTTGGGGAGTGTGTGGGAGGCAACTAACTGATTTGTCTCTCCCTCGCCCTTCCACTCTCTCTAAAAATCAATGGTAAAATATCCTCAAGTGAGGATTAATAAAACAAACAAAAAAAATCAACTATTTTAGAGAGATTTAAAAATATATATTTTTATTGACTTTGTACAGAGAGGAAGGGAGAAAGAAAGAGAGCTAGAAACATCGATGAGAGAGTCATCGATCAGCTGTCTCTTGCACACCCTCCACTGGGGATGTGCCTGCAACCAAGGTACATGCCCTTGACCGGAATCGAACCCGGGACCCTTCAGTCCACAGGCCGATGCTCTATCCACTCAGCCAAACCAGTTTCAGCTATTTTAGAGAGATTTAATGTAACTCCATTTACATTAAATCTCTTTTATGTAATTGGTGCTTTGCCACCTCACAGATTTTAAAAATTAGGTAAAGTGACCATAAACTTTATACAGAAGAATAAATGCCAAAAATAGCAAAGTATGAGAAAGAATGAAGATTTTGTCTTATCAAACATTAGAGCATATTATGAAAGCCACTGCGATCAAATCCATACATTCTTGGAAACAATGATCGCTGGGAGAGAATAAATTCCAGTATTTATTATAGGCAAACGTGACATTTCGATTCAGTGGAAAATGAATGGATTATTTAATAATTTGATGGTAGGACGGCTGGTTAACATTTTGAAAGAAAATATAAGAGGACCCCTATTTTCTACCATATACAAAAATAAATTCCTGATGATTACACATTTACATATAAAACAATAAAATGAATCTTGGAGACCATATTCACAATATAGGACTAGGAAGAGCTTTTGAATGAAGGCAAGAAATAAAAGTTATAAGTGAAAAAGCAGCATATTTAACTACATACAAACTTTAAACTCCTGTGTGGCAAAAACTGGTGATTCCCAACACATGGTCCTTGGACCAGCAGCAGCCTCTGGGAACTTGTTAGGAATACAGATTCTTACCTCCCCCCCCACACTTACTGAGTCAGAAAGTGCTGTCTGTGCTCAGGAGCCTAGGTTTAACAAGCTCCTCAGGTGATTCTGATGCACAGCTAAAAAGTTTGAGGACCACAAAGTCAATGAACAAAATTAAATTAGGGAAAAAAACCTATCTGTAACAAAGATAACATTCAGAGGATCAACACTTATAATATACAAATGGTTATTATACATTGATAAGAAAGGAATAACTAATCAAACAGAAAAATGGGCTAAGCATATCAGAGAACAGCAAATCAAAATAAGACAAACATTAAAAGTGCTTACACTAAGCTGCAGTCAAGGAAGTGCAAATTAAAGGTTAATGTACTTTCCATCAAGACAAGAGAATTTTTAAAAAAGCAACGGCTGGAGGGAAACAGGTACTCTCATTCACTGCGACTGGAAGCATGCATTGATACAGCTTTTGTGAAACGCAATCTGGGGACATTTATGAAATGAAAAGTCCATATATTCAAACTAGCAATTTATTCCTCAGACTCCAGTCCCTATAAATAAAGGCACTCATAGGTGAAGATAGAGCACAGGGTGTTTAGTCACAAGGATGCTTATTGAAGCGTTATTTGTACCAAAAACAAACAAACAAAAACCCAACAACATTGAAATCCAAGTGAAGACCTTCACTGGGGTATAGATGAAGAATTCTGGTGTATCTCCAGCATGAAATATAATGTAGCTATTAGAAAAGGAAATAATTAGAACAGAGATATCATCATTAGTGGCATCAGAATCACCCAGACGGCTTCTGAGAATCACTCAGATTGCTGGGGCCCATCACCAGTTTCTAATTCAGTAGATCTGGGGTGGAGTCCAGAATTTGTGTTTCTAAAAATTCCCAGGTGGTGCTGATACTGCTGGCCCAGCGACTGCACTTTGAGAATCACTGGTTTAAGATACTATTAAGTAAGAAGAGTAAAGTATGAAAAATATATTTGATATGGTCAACTTCTTTGTAAAATAATGGCTTCCAAAAACCATATACATATGTATCTATGCCCATGAAGAAAAACATAGAAAACATTAGGAAATTAACATGGATTTACTTGTGGGGTAGTAGACAGACAGTAAGAGGATGCTTTTACACCAGTCTACATGTAAGTAGTGTGTTCACATGTTATGCTTTGTGTAATGTTATTTGTGGCAATACATACAAAGGAAAAACAAACAAAACAACAAATACTTTCCAGCATTATATTCCTTTACCTAAAACACAAGGTCAGGGAAAATCACTGCACCTTTTGGGTATGAACATACCTGATAGGAAGACACAGGAGACGGAAGGTATGGGGAGAGTGCAGACTGAGTTAGCATCCTGTTGGGAGTGATGTTATAAGGAGCTGGGTAGAACCTGCAGGAAGAAACCTCATCAGTGAGGAGCCATAGGCAATCAGGAAGAAAGAGCCCCCACTGATAGACACAGCCACTTCCCACAGATGACCTCAAGATGAAACATCTTGGACACAGGCTATTGTCATTCTGAGTTGGCCTGAATATATAAAACACCCTTACCCATTCTGAAGAGCTGTGGAGGGGTCATAAGTCAAGGCCACACCACCCTATAAAGAAAGTACACAGCAGTCATATTGTAAGCCCCTAGATAAGAATAGGAGCAAGGAGAAACCAAGATGGAGGCATAGGTAAACACCTGAAATTGCTGCCTCCCATGACCACTTCAAAACTACAACTAAAAGACAAAACTGACATCATCTAGAACCACAGCAAGGCTGGCTGAGTGGAAATTATACAACTAGAAGGGAAGAGAAAAGCACACTGAGACTCAGGAGCTGTGGAAGTAAAGTGCAGAGGTATGGAGGCGTGTGCACATGTGGAGAGGGCTGGCTTTTTCAATCTGCAAGTAGACACGGGCTCCCAATTGCTCTGAACTCCAGTTCCGGACGAGACTATGGGGACCCAGACTCATACGGGGAGAAACTGGACTGTCTGGCAGTGAGTGGAACTCAAGGGCAGCTTTCTCTCAGTGGTGCTTGCAGTGATTACTGAGGGACACAGAGACCCGGGGGCCTCTTAGGGCAGGACTGAGGGTCAGCCATAGCTGTTTGCTCCGCCCTGAGACCCTGCCCCATCCAAGCTGTGTGCAGGGGCTTTTGCATATGAATGGCCTGGTGCTTTGCAACCTAAAATTATCTAACAAACTGCAGCTGAGTCAGAGAGCCCCAGAGCCTCCGAAAGAAGGCCCAAGGACTCACAGCAGCTTTCATTGCTTCACAGTTGGGCCTTATTTGGGCACCTCCAAATCCCAAACAAAGAAGAGGAATCTGCAGATCTTTTCATAGCTCCTGCTGGGTGGCCTCAGACAGAGGCTAAATTTGAACATCCTTGGATCTCCCAGTGGTCAAAGTGGAACCATCCAGATTACAACTCCTTAGATCCATAAGGGACACACTCAGGGGGCAGACTCAGTGAGCAGCAAAGCCCCATTGAAGCAAGTCTTGTCCCATAAGGGTGTCTCCAGCACAGAAGTTCTCCCATCATAGACACAGCTGATCCTCACAGCCAACTGGCCTGGAGGTCAATTCCTCCAGTGATACCAACAACAACCAAGGCTTAACTACAACAAGACTGAGCACACAGTCCACAATGGGGTACACCAAGAGTGTCCATCTCAGGTAACTGGGGAGGCTGAGCCACTGGGCCCTATCGGACACCTTGCACACAAAGCCATTCTATCAACTCAGGGAAGCAGCCAAATGTGGAGACAAAGAAACAGTTCACAAATGAAAGAAATGGAGGAAAGCAAACTACTGGATATAGAATTCAAAACCACGGTTATAAGGTTTTTCAAGAATTTTCTGGAAACTGCTGATAAATTTAGTAAGACCCTCGAAGATATGAAAAATGACGAACTGGAAATTAAGCATACACTGACTGAAATAAAAAATAATATACAGAGATCCAACAACAAACTAGAGGATCGCAAGACTCAAGTCAAATATTTGAAATACCAAGAAGCAAAAATCACCCAACTGGAAAAGCAAAAAGAAAAAAGAATCTAAAAATATGAAGATAGTGTAAGGAGCCTCTAGGACAACTTTAAGCATACCAACATCCAAATTATGGAGGTGCCAGAAGAAGAGAGAGAGCAAGATATTGAAATCTATTTGAAGAGATAATGACTGAAAACTTCCCCCACCTGGTGAAAGAAATAGATTTACAAGTCCAGGAAGCACAGAGAACCCTGAACAAAAGGAATCCAAAGAGGACCACACCAAGACACATCATAATTAAAATACCAAGAGCAAAAGACAAAGAGAGTATATTAAAAGCAGCAAGAAAAAAACTGTTACCTATAAGGGAACACCCATATGATTGTCAGCTGATTTCTCAACAGAAACTATACAGGCCAGATGGGAGTGGCAAGAAATATTCAAAGTGATGAACAGCAAGAATCTACAACCAAGATTACTTACCCAGCAAAGGTATCATTCAGAATTGAAGGTTAGATAAAGAGCTTCACAGATAAGAAAAAGCTAAAGGAGTTCATCACTGCCAAAAGTACTATATGAAATGCTGAAAGGTATTCTTCAAGAAGAGGAAGAAGAAGAAAAAGGTAAAGATAAAAATAAAAATATGGACAACAAAGTGACAACAAATACAGATCTATCAACAAGTGAATCTAAAAATCAAGTGAATAAACTGGAGAATTGAATCAGGGGCATAGAAATGGAGTGGAATGACAATTCTCAGGGGGAAGGGGGTTTAGGGGGTATGGAAAGAGACTGGATAAAAATTGTACACCTATGGATGAAGACAGTGGGAGAGAGGGGGTAAGGGCAGAAGGTGGGGTGGGAACCGGGTGGAGGGGAGCTATGAGGGGAAAAAAGAGGAACAATTGTAATAATATGAACAATAAAGATTTATTATATATATAAAAAAAAGAGTAGGAGCAAGGCCAGAATGTCAAGGGTGGGAATGAGTAAAGTGAAGTCTGGACAGCCCAGCCCATGTGGTTCAGCAGTTAAGTATCAACCCAGGAACCAAGAGGTCACTGGTTTGATTCCTAGTCAGGGCACATGCCCGGGTTTCAGGCTTGATCCCAGTAGGGGACATGCAGGAGCAGCCAATCAATGATGTTCCTCTCTCATCGATGTTTCTCTCTATATATACCTTTCTCTTCCTCTCTCTCTAAAAATAATAAAAATAAAAAATTAAGTGAAGTCTGGTCAAGCTGTTCTAGAGTTTTTCTGGTTGTGCAGGCTGCAAAATCCCACTCAAGACCCACACTGAAGAGCGTGTTAGTATCCAGCTCCTCAGTTACAAACTGTAGCTCTCAAGCTTGCCACCTAAGCTCACAGCAATCAGGCCATGGTAATTTCCATTCCATTTCACTGTCCTCAGAGGTCCTCTTACCATGTCTCCATTCCTTGGCCAGGCCCGTCCATTTTGCACAAATTTTCCTGGATTCTGTCTTTTCTTTGGACCACCGTCAGCAAATTTGCAAAGCAACGGATCTGATGGGGCTACCAAGAGAGAAAGCAGACAGGTGACTGAGTCCCACCTCACTTAGCCTCACTCACACTCATGCAAAACTCCTCCCGATCTTCACTGCAAGTAACACCTGTGGCCCTGTCAGCCCGACTCCCAGATGCCTCACCTGGCACTCCAGGGGGTGTCTTAATATATTTTCCGTTAAAGTGGGTGATTATGGCTTCACACTTCTCTGTGGATTCCATCCTGAGGAGTACAAGAGGCATTAGGCTCTAGCTTCTCCAGGATTTGAGTGCTCCCTCCATTAAAAAAGAATGCCCCAGTCCCTAGTCCCACTGATGCTCTAATGGTTGTGACTACAAAACACAGGTTTCCTCCACACAAATTCAAGATATCAAGAAGAGGCAATCCCAGCTTCTAACGAAGGTTCTCTCATCTGGCTCCCGGAGGAGTCCTGAGAGGAACATGGAGGTCTTTGAGCTACGAATACATGTTCCAGGCAGATACTGACGGCTGGGCCTATGATTGTGTCTGGTTCATAAAAAAGAACATAATAAACAGAGGCTGTTACTATGACTTTTTTATTACAAACTCCCAATGGAAATTGTTCCCTCATTCTGATAAAACTCCACAAGCTAAGATTTTCCAATATTTATTTTTGCTTCTGGTTACTTATCAAGGTGTAATTAGGTGCTATTCATTAAAGTTTCATGAGTCTGTAGGAGGAAACAGTAATAAGACAGGTTGAGGGCCCACAGTGATAGAAAAAACAATGGGAACTATGTGAGTTAAAGTATCTTGCTGGGGAAACAGGACAGAACATCTAGACTCCAGCTCCTGTTCATCTCCCAAAGCTCTATGGGTTAGGCCAGTGGTCGGCAAACTCATTAGCCAGGAGAGCCAAATGTCATCAGCACAACGATTGAAATTTCTTTCGAGAGCCAAATTTTTTAAAACTTAAACTTCTTCTAATACCACTTCTTCAAAATAGACTCACTCGGGCCGTGGCATTTTGTGGAAGAGCCACACTCAAGGGACCAAAGAGCCGCATGCGGCTCGCGAGCCGCAGTTTGATGACCACTGGGTTAGGCCATGCACAAAACCCCTTTGGATCATCCGCTTTAGAGAAATGATCCATCTACCCTACTACACAGGATGGTATAGATCGAATAAGATAATCTATCTAAATGTGTCCTAAGAATTGTAAGGGCCCCATTTAATACAAGGTACAGTATCCTGCCCTCTTTCCGTATTTAAGGTCTCACTGTATTTTCCATGCCAATAGCCACTAAAAGCATAAACCATTCCCATGACGGTGGTCAGTACAGAAGGCCTCAAATGGAATGTGTTAGAGAAAACCACGTTAGGTATCCTAGAGCAGAAGTCTTCAGCGGGGTTACTCCTATTCCTTAGGCTTAAGGTTTCATGAGTCTGTAGGAGGAAACAGCAATAGACAGGGTTAGGGCCAAAGTGATAGAAAAAGGGCGCGCAGGCATAGAGAGTTTCAAGAGAATCACTTCCAGAACCTCAACATTCTCGTAAACTTTTTCCTAAAACTGACCTGCCTGGGGGACGGGTCATGATCAGTAATGATCAAAGCTCACGCCCCCTCTCACAGTCACTCCTTTTAATTTCCTTCACACGCTCCCCAATAAGGCAGTGGTAACTGAGTTATAAATTTTCAAAATAAGGCAGTGGTAACTGAGTTACAAATTTTTTTTTTTTTTTTTTTTTTTTTGGTATGTCAGACGCTCCCATAAGCTGGAGGACTCTGCAAATTATCAATTGACACATTTAAAAAAATCAATTTTGTTGATAGATTACCCTGGTTCTTAGCAAAGGATTCAAAAGGAATTCACAGAATCCCTATTTTAATAAATCTCTTCCCATCCCTGCTCTGGCCGGTGTGGCTCAGCTGCTTGGGTGCTGTCCCGTGCACTAAAAGGCTGCTGGTTTGATTCTCAGGGCATAGAGTGTCGACCTGCAGACTGAAGGGATTGAAGGGTCCTGGGTTCGATTCTGGTCAAGAGCACATGCCCTGGTTATGGGCTCGATTCCCTGTAGAAGGCATGCAGGAGGCAGCTGATTGAGTCTCTCTCTGCATTGATGTTTCTATCTTTTTCCCCCCTCTCTCTCCTCTCTGAAGAAGAAGAAGAAGAAGAAGAAGAAGAAGAAGAAGAAGAAGGAGGAGGAGGAGGAGGAGGAGGAGGAGGAGGAGGAGGAGGAGGAGGAGGAGAAGGAGGAGAAGAAGGAGAAGAAGGAGGAGAAGAAGGAGGAGAAGAAAGCAGAACCATTTCCTAAGTAGGACAGGGAAGCTGGTGTCCTACACCAATGACACCTAAGCACAGAGGAAGGTACGCTGGAGAGCTTGGCAGCGCCAGGGAACACCACAGGAAAATCACTCATCGAAATCAATCTCCGCAGCCCAGCTGGCAAGGCTCAGTGGTTGAGTGTTGACCTATGAACTAGGAGGTCATGGTTTGATTCCTGGTCAGGGCACATACCGGGGTTGCGGCCTCCATCCCCAGTGGGGGGCATGGAGGAGGAAGCCAATCAATGATTTTCTCTCATCATTGATGTTCTATCTCTTTCTCCCTCTCTGAAGTCAATTTAAAAATATATTTAAAAAAATAATGAATCAATCTCCAGAGTCGACCAAGACTCATAAAGGTCTGCTATCACGTGGACAGTGAGTGGCAGAGCTGGTTCCAGAATATAAGTCTCTCCACAGATCTGAAGGTAGACCAGCTCTTCCATGTCATCCTAACTGACCTGGAGGCCAGCAGTATTGGGGCTCTGCTTCTACCACCCACTCCTGGGACCCCGGGGACAAGTCACTTCATCTTGGGAACTTTGGTTTCCTTACCTACAACACGGAGAGCTCACATTTCACAGGGTTGTAGTGATGACTAAATGAGACAATAGGAAGATACGGAACACTTGCTTCATGGGCTTGTACAGCACCAGTGACATTAAGTCTATTCGAAGATGCAGAATTATTTTATTCTGGTTGGGTCTGGAGCAAAGGAATAATGGCTAGAGAAGCAGAAAGTAGTGGGGAAAGGACGAGGACTAGGGGCACATGAACTTTTTAGTATTGTGACCTACAATTAAATAAACTTGATTTTCTATTGATAGGGAGGACCTATCATCTGATAGAGAACACCTGAATCTGAAAAATAATCATATTGTTTTAAATCTTAGAACACATATACTTATTAATATGTGAATAGGGGGTTACATTTCTTATATGTGAATAAGGGGTTTTAGGGGGTTAAGTTTTTCTTAAGTTTCCTTTTCAAGGCTTGTGTAAAGTGATCGAGGAGATGACTCAGCTGTGAATCTAGCAAGCAGAACCGATAAGCATGGTCAGGCTAACCCATCAGGAGTCAAAACATCACCTCATCGCCTGATGACTAACCGATAATAGCTGACGTCCATTCCTGGCTTCACCCTCGCCCCTTCCCCTACATAACCCTGTCCCCCGCACAGTGCTAAAAGGCGCGATCTGATGCTGGTGAGCACCCTGTCTTCTTGTTGGCTCGCCTTCTCAGCAAACGGCCCATATGATTCACCCTGACACGGTGACAGGCAGCCGGAACTTCCCAGTAACACCATCAAGTACTTTTGGCCAATGAACGTTTCCCTTGTGGGCAAGGGGGGCACGGCTCTGTGACATTCTTCATCAACCACGTCAGTCCCCACGCTGGGCACCCCTCACCTCGCAAAGCCGACCCCTCTGCTGGTCCCACTGGTGTCTCGGAGGATTCGAGTGGAGATCACTTGGCCAAAGGGCTTCAGCATTCCCTCCAGCTCTTGCTCATCCATCGACAGCGGGAGGTTTGATATGTATAAATTTGTGGGGTCCTGCTCCTGTTGCTAGGGAAATAAGAGAGAGAAAATGAAGCTCAACATCTCAGCCTTCGTCCACAAAATAGTATCTCAGAAAAAAAGGTAACAGGAAGGTCCCACATAAACAAAGCGAATCTTAACTGTTTGTCACAAACCCCTAGTCCTACTACCATGGTTGTATATTGAGCCCAAATCCCACCCACAAAGAGAGAGAGAGAGAGAGAGAGAGAGAGAGAGAGAGAGAGAGAGAGAGAGAGAGAGAGAGAGAAAGCAGATCCAATATCATTAGTACTGTACAAGCCCCTAATACTAGTCGTTGATAAAGTGCTGGCTGTCGCTTTAAGAACTTGGCAGAGCAGCACTCCTCCTCCCCAGCAGCTGGTCCCAGAGGCTGGATTCCCTTGGACCGCCTGGTTCGCCGGCTGGATTGTTTTGAGTAATCCTCCCCCCCCCCCCCCTTCCGGCCACAGCAGACTCCTCGGAGCAGGAATGCCTGCTCATTCCCGGAGGAGGGAAAGCGGGAAAGCAGGGGGAGGGGGGGGGAGGAGGAGGACGGGAGGCAATGTGCTGGGGCTGCACAGAGGGCCACACGGCGCCCTGGTCCCCGGAGGGAAAGCTCTGTCTCACAGGAGCTCGGCTTTTCTGCAGGAGGCAGAGGCGGCGGGCAGAGCGCAGGCAGGGGCACCGCGTCCCATCGCTGCATTTTTAAGAGTTGAAGCAGCCACTCTGCTCTGGATTGTGGGTCACAACAACTCAGTCCCTCTCCGGCCTTTCCCTTCGGGCCTCCCGTTGTCTTTCATTATAGGAAAGGGTGGCTGCAGCCTGGCCTCATCAGCACCACCCAGGATTCACAGCGACCTCAGACAGGCCAGGGGCAGCGCCACCTGAGAGCCCGCGGGAGGGGAAGCCCCCGGATTCCTAGTCCCAGATGGAAGGAGAAGCTCCAGGCGGATCTGAGGAGGAAGGTCTCTTCCCCCCACGCCCCACCTCAGAGCCACCGGCCCAGGGAGCAGCGCTGGGAGGCGGAACGCATTGTTCTGAATGCTGAGACGCACAACTGGCTTCTTCAGAGAATGTTGCAAAACTCCCACAAGCTGTGTGGTGGGAGTGTGGAACCGGGTGGGGATGGGGAGACGGGGAGATGTGGGAGGAAGGGACCTCCTGCCTGCTTATAATCCTCAACAGAGCTGCCTGCCTGTCTTCCTCCAGCAGCCCAGGGGTGCTAACAGGTCCCTAGCCCAGACTGCCTGTGGCCAGACAGAGTGACAGATCCCTGCAGGGGGGTCAGCGCCAGGGCTCTCAGGCCCTGGAAACCTTGGAAGTGAGCCTTGTGCTCACCACAACCCCTTGAAGGGAAAGACCCGGGCAGCACCCTCCCTTACCTTTGCCATCTGTGCCTGGACACCACTGGCCTTCAGTGCTGTCACGGCCTTCTGCGCGGCTGAAGGACTGTCAAAGTCCACAAAGCCATAGCCTGGAATGGAAGCAGCATCAGTGTGCGGTGGGGGATACGGGTCGGGGGTTTGGGGGTGGGGGTTGGGGGTAGGAGGCCCTGGCTCTTCAGGGGCAGAGGAAGGGTTCTGACCCATGTAACCAAAGTGGTAGGAAGGTTCCAGGTGCATATCCACGTGTGTCTCAAACCCTGTGAGATTTGGTCTACTTTTTAAGGAATATGTCTTTATTGATTTCAGAGAGGAAGGGAGAGGGAGAGAGAGAAATATCAATGATGAAAGAGAATCATCACATGATTAGCTGCCTCCTGCACACCCCCTGCTGGGGACGGAGCCCCCAACCTGGGCATGTGCCCTGACCGGGAATGGAATCCATGACCTCTTGGTTCAAGGCTTAACATACAACCACTGAGCCACACATTGCTGGGCGGTTTCAGTTACCTTAAAGCTCAGCGTGCTCAGGGCAATGAGGTCCTGTGCCCGTGGCTTTCTCCCGCTCCCAACAAAGATGAGGTTTCAGGAAGGAAGCTCTTCTAACAATCCCAGCACCCGGCTCTGACTTCCTAGACTAACAGCCTTCCTCTTTCCTTGCCACACCCCAGGCTGCTAGGCATGGGGATACAGCCTCTTTTTAAAATTATATCGCTTTATTGATTTCAGAGAGAAAGAGAAAGGGAGAGAGAGAGAAACATCAATGATCAGAGTGAGTCATTGGTTGGCTGCTTCCTACACACTCCCCTACTGGGGACTGAGCCCACAACCCAAGCATGTGCCCTGATGGGGAGTCAAACCGGGACCTCCTAGTTCACAGGCGGATGCTCAACCACTGAGCCACACGGGCCAGGTGGGAGTACAGACTCTTCATGGCAGATAACCATGAAGAAGCCATTCTCCACTTCAACCTGCGTACCTTTCCTCTCCTACAATTTTTACATCTCCACCTAAGATTGCTCAAAACCCAACAAAACTGTTAATCCTCCCCAAATAATACCTACCAAGTCATCCACCCCACCACCACCAAAAAGCATTTACAATGCTTTGCTAAAGGGAAATAACTCCTACCCACAAACACCATCCCATCCAGGGGAACATGAGGTTCTAAGTGAGCCCAAGGGACCCCAAGACTTTGGTGCAGACTTCTAGCCTTAGGTCCCCAAAATAGCATCTGCAGCTGTAGCTTTCTGGTCACCAAAGAGTCTAAATATCTGCTAGTCTTAAAACACTCTTATTGGTTGGTTTTTAGAGAGAGAGAGAAAGCGGGAAGAGAGGGAGGAAGAGAGAAATATGGGTTTGTGCTTCCACTTATTTATGCATACATTGGTTAACTCTTGTATGTGCCCTGACCGGGAATCAAACTGGCAACCTGGGCCTATCAGGACGATGCTCTAACCATCTGAGCTACCTGGCTAGGGCTCTGCTGGTCTTTTAAGTCTGAACACCTCTGAGATTCCTCTCTGGTCTTGGGTACTAGGGACTTGCAGCAGTAAAGGGCAGAGACGAGGGATGGGCTCACTGGCAGCTGCTCTCCATCACCGAGGACAGCTCTCTCTCACCTTTACATTTGTTTGTGGTCTTGTCCAATATGGCCTTCGTGGAGACGATCTTGCCATAGCTAAGGGAGAAGAAGACGCAAAGTGATCATCTGGGGCAGGTGTGTAGGAAAGGACAGAGAATAAGACATCTGGATGAACCCAGGCCCTTCTCCACTCCCACTACGACAACCGATCCTACCCAAGCCTTAATAACAGGAAAGAGAAGATGCATTTAAAATGTGAGACTTGGGGAGAATCCAAGATGGCTGCACAGGTAAACACCCAGCCGCAGCCGCACACAACAATTTCAATAAAATAAAACTAAAATATAAAATGGACATTACCCAGAACTACAGGAAAGTCAACTGACTGGAAATTCTACAACGAGAAGCAAGGAGAAAACCAGAAGGAAGCGCGGAGGAGCAGGAAAAGCCTGAGGTACGGAGACACACGGTGCGCGGAGAGGAGGGAGGCCGAGTGCCTGGCTGGTGTTCCCCAGCAGGAAGGAGATAAAACTCTGACTGTGCTGGGCCCCGGTTCCGACTGCTCTGAACCCCAGCTCTAGGCCAGACCCCGAGGACCCAGGCTTATCCAGAGGGAGCTGGGCTGTAAGGCGGAACCCTGGGGGGGCAGTGAAAGGAGGTCCCGGAGGCGCGCACATTGCGCGCAGAGAAGGGATGGTTGGCTGTGCCACAGGATTGCCCTGGTGGGAAGGAGACAAAAGCTCTGGACTGCTCTGAACGCCACCTCCAACTCCACTTCCAACTTCACTTCCAACTGAACTGAACCCCAGTTCTGGGCTCATTGGGGGAGAGCCTAGACTGTTTGGTAGCAGGCAAAAATCGAGGGCACCTTTCTCTCAGAGGTGCTTGCAGTGAGTACTGAAGGACCCTGGGGATTACTGAGACTCAGGATCGCGTAGGGCGGGGCTGACAGAAGCCAGACCTGTAGGCTCCACCCTGAAACTCCGCCCCAGGGAAGCTGGGAAAATGCCAAGACAACGAAATAGATCACAAACGAAAGAAATGGAGGACAAAAAGCGACTGGATATAGAGTTCAAAACCACACTTATAAGCTTGTTCAAGAATCTCCTAGAAAAGGTCAATAAAATAAACGAGACCTATGAGGATATGAAAAGGGATCAACTAGAAATAATAAGGGATCAATAAGAAATAATAAGGGATCAACAAGAAACAAAGAATACATTGTCTGAAATAAAAAAATATTGTACAGAGTCCTAAAAACAGAATGGAAGATCGCAAGAATCAAGTCAAAGATTTGGAACATAAAGAGCCGGAAAACACTCCTCTGCAGAAGCAAGAAGGCAAGAGAATCCAGAAAATTGTAGATAATGTAAGAAACCTCTGAGACAACTTCAAGCGAACCAACATCAGAATTATGGGGCTCCCAGAAGATGAGAGAGAGCAAGATATCGAAAACATACTGAAAGAAATAGTGACAGAAAACTTCCCCCACCTGGTGAAAGAATTAGACTTACAAGTCCAGGAAGCGCACAGAACTCCAAACAAAAGGAATCCAAAGAGGACCACACCAAGACAAATCATAATTAAAATTCCAAGAGCAAAAGACAAAGAGAGAATATTAAAAGAAGCAAGAGCAAAGAAGGTAGTTACCTATAAAGGATCACCTATACGATTGTCAGCTGACTTCTCAACAGAAACCATGCAGGTCAGAAGGGAATGGCAAGAAATATTCAAGGTGATGAATAGCAAGAACCTACAGCAAAAAATAATCTACCCAGCAAAGCTATCACTCAGAATCGAAGGCCAGATAAAGAGCTTCACCAATAAAAAAAAGCTAAAGGAGTTCATCACCACTAAACCAGAATTATATGAATTGCTGAAGGGGGTTCTTCGGAAGAGAAAGTAAATAAAGATAAAAATTATGAACAACAAATATGTAACTATCAACAAGTGAATCTAAAAACCAAGGAAATTAAAAAAAAAATCTGATGAACAATATTAACTGTTGAATATAATAGAATCAAAGGTATGGAAGGGGAGTGAACTGACAATTCTTGGGGAAAAGGGGAGAGGGGGATGTGGGAAGAGACTGAATAAACTATGCACCTATGGATGAGGACAATGGGGAGTGGGGAAAGGGCAGAAGGTGGGGTGGGAACCTGGTGGAGGAGAGCAATGGGGTGGTTGGGGAAAGGAACATTTGTAATAACATGAACAATAAAAATTTATTAAATAAATAAATAAAAATAAAAGGAAGAAAAAAAAAAAAAAAGTGAGACTTATCATAGAAAGCCTATTCCCAAAGGTACCCACAGGAAATAAGGCAATGTAGTCCAACACACTTCTCTCTTCTTCTCCATCTAAGACTCAGACACTGGTTAGAAAGAGATCACTGTCTTCCCAGGAGAGAAGCTTGGCAACACACACATTGCAGGAATTCCTTAAGGACTAAAAGCAATCCTTGATGTTACTTATCCTCTTTTGGACAAACACCGTTCCTCCTATGAAAATCCTACAGACAGTTATCTTCTCTGACACCCAGTTCCCTATCCTTCTACTGATCGAAGGTCAACCTGAACCGGATTTCTTATGCTCAAATCCTGGTTCTGCCTCTTTGAAGCTACGTGTGATCTTGGACAAGCCATTTAACCTTTCTGTGCCTCAGTCTCACCGTCTGTAAAATAAAAATAGGATTGTTGGGTACAGGAAATGAATTCATGAATATGGCAAACACATAAAAACTCTTAACTGCTGTCACTGTTATTGTATTTAAGTGACCTCAACTTTAATCTACTGCAATGGCTCTCCTGCTTTACCGTGATCTAAAACTTCTATTTCTCATTGTCAAGATTTGAGTGTGTTAGGAGAGAGTCGGCACACGACCAGGTGAGGAAATTATTCAGTCCTGGTCGGTTTGGCTCAGTGGAAAAAGCATTGGTTTATGGACTGAAGGGTCCCTGGGTTTAATTCTGGTCGAGGACATGTACCTTGGTTGCAGGCTCATTCCCCAGCCCTGATAGGGGTGTTTGCAAAGGCAACCAATCGATGTCTCTCTCTCACATTGATGTTTCTCTCTCTGTCTGTCTCTTTCTCTTCCATTCTTTCTAAAAATCAATAGAAAAATATCCTCAGGTGAGGATTAACAAAAAAAAAAAAAAAAAAAAAAAAGGAAAGAAAATTATCCTAAATTTGATGACGAGGCAAAATGATGATTGCATATCCTTTCAATTCTGGAATATTGGAATTCTGGAATATTGTCTAAAAGGCCCACTCAAGCCCATCAACCTAAGAACCAGGGGATCACTAGTTTAATTCCCAGTCTTGCACATGCCCAGTTCTGTGGGCTCACTTCCCAGTGGAGGGTCATGCAGGAAGCAGCCCATCCATGATTCTCTCTCATCACTGATGTTTCTATCTCTCTCCCTCTCCCTTCCTCTCTGAATTTAATAAAAATACATATTTTAAAAAAATAAAATACAATAAAAGGCCCACCCAAGGTATATTTCATCACCAAATGAGTTGCTTCATTTACTATTGACTACTGATGGGGGCCCAGGCTCAGTGAGGATGCATAATAACTGTGGATATTTATCCAGCAGATATGCAAATAGTTTCTGTCCAGCAGGAAAGAAAGTCCCAACGGTCACTGTCTTATTGTTCTCTGGGGTATGTGACCCAGCAATCTTACTCCACCGTTCCTTTTTCAGTTCGTGAAAACACACGGCCCCTCAAATGCTTTTGGAACTCGTTTTTCCATCCTGCTGGCTCCCTCACCACTGACGGGAGTAAATCTTTGGCATGTGTGCGCCTATATTTACAGGACAGTCATGTTCTCAACATTCTGGAAGAGCACGCTTTGGCAGCAGAGCGGGGTGTCCCACGTCGGGGATTAGACGAGACGTCCCGCTAGAGAAAAGTCTCTCCATCCCACTCCAGGCGGGAGAGAACATTAAAGAGGGAACAGATAACGCTCGCAAAGTTACAAGTACGAGATTTAACTAAAAATGCTTCTCAGGGACTGACTGTAAGACCAATATCCCAAAGGAGCATTTTTCCTGCCCCTCTTCCCATCCCTGAAGCTCGCAGGATGGTGGATGTGTTTGTCTCGCTCCTTGGCCACCTCTCACTGACTGTTTTACTGGAACCAAGGGGTTAGGAAGAATAAGCTAAGCAATGCTCTGGAGGCCGGGAAAAGAACACATTAAAATGGGGGGAGGGGGGGGAAGGTGATCCTAGCTCTTCAGGATTACATACTTGGATTCTTTCCCAAATTTAGGCAAAGGAGGAGCTGCATGAGACTAGGCCAGAGGACACGCATGCTGCTATCCCTGCGGAGGCCCCAGGGTGGAGCTTGCTGTGGTCTGAGCAGCCTGAGGCTGAGCTCAGACTTTCCAGGCAGCTGGCAGCCCGAGCCACTCCTGCCGCTTCCTCCTCAGACGGAGCCCCTCCAGGAGTACTGGAGCTCCAGTCCGGACTCCATGCCGCCTCTCCTTCCCACCCTCCAGGGCTCGGGAGCCGCCGCTTGTACTTCCCCTGCAGTCCGAGAGAGACCAACTGGGACAAAGGCAGGAGTGGGAAACACCCTTCCCACAAAGGTCTAACAGCTCACAGCGCTGTTAGACTTTGTGGGTCCGCTCACCTGCTCGTCCCAGCCTCCCTTCCCCATCACTCAGCCAGCATCCTACTGCCCCTGCCTCCTTGCCACCTCTCCACAGTCCCCTCCGGACTCCTCACTGCCATCCTCCATGCTGACCCTGACTCTTCTCAGCCCTCAGACACACAGAAGGCAGGGCCGCTGCTGGGAAGGGCGAGATGAATGTCTGAAAGTGCGTATAGGGAAGTGGAACTGAGCTCTTCCTCTGTCGTGTGGAATGAGGAGGTTTTTGTAGCACAATATAGCCAGGACAAGAAACACAAAGTGCAGAATGAAGGAGCTAGACTGATAAGATAATCTTTTCCCTGTCGGCCAACATTCCTGCCAATCTGCATTCCCCCAAAACATTGCTGGTCCTAGACTAAGGGCCATTGAAATACCTTCCTAGCAAGGTAAGCTGAGCTAAAGGATCCCGTTTTATACACACATCTAGCCTGTAGAGGTTGAATGTGAGTGGTCTGGTGCTAACAAAAACATCCATGTGCTTGGCAGACCACATCCGAAGGGTAAGGGGTTTGTGGGGTGCATACGATGCCTCGTACAGCCACGTTTTGCAGGCAGAACGTGCTGCCTCTCTAGGACTTGGAGCACTGGATGTACGTGCATGGCTGTGGGAGTCTGAGTTACTGCAACCCCTTCAGGAAATGGCTCAGCAATAGCAACAGAAGCAGAACAAATGCGATTTTACTCATAGGTATAGACACAGCACAAAGGCGTGCACTGGTGCACCAAAAGGCGTGCAAAGCTCAGAGCAGCACTGTTCACACTGAAGGGACACCTGTGGGGTGGGAAGGAGATGGGAACGGAGAGGCGGGCTTGGAAGCGTTGGCAGTGTTCTGTTTGACATGAGACGGTTCCACTGGAGGCCGGGAAAAGAACACATTAAAATTAAGGTCTGTGCGTTTTTCCGGGCACTTGTGACACTTCAAAACGAAGTTCTTAAAAATGGTACATCTACATAATCGAAGGTTCCGATTTTTCTCCTTCTACCATGCACTTGCCAAAGTTCTGCTTTTCTTCTCCCCATTATGTTCCCACTCCATCCCCAGACTTTCCCTCCGTATTATTTAAAACGTACACTTTCCTGCCTAAAGGAAATGAACTGGCATTTCCGCCCACTGGCAATTTCCCCAGGATTCCTAACGAGGCTGATTCCGTAACAGTTATCTCCATCTCGTGACTCAGTCTGCTCCGGAGAACCCCGAATGTCTTCAGAGGGAAGATGCAAAGTGACTGCCTCTCTCTCCACCTTCTTTCTCCACCACTCTGAGGGCTTCTCTGGTGCACTGGCTATATCTCTAGCAGCAGAAACTCTTTGAAGTATATCATTCAATTGACTAGTCCCACTTTCTTATATCCCTCCCTGCCTTCTCATCTATACCTTTGGAGATACTGAATATTTATTTCTATTCAAGGTGTAGGGATAGGAATCTTTCCACCAAGACTATTAATTCGAGATATTTGCTAGAAACAGTCATGCACTAGGTGTAAAAGGCCAGCTTGATCCTGGCTTTCCAGAGAAACACAGAGGTCTTATATGTTAGTAGCAGGTAGGATTTCTTTCAGAGGGGCTGCTGAGAAACCTGTGACTATGGAATAGAAGCAAAATAATATTGTATTTCAGGATAAGAGTATCTGGCAACAAGCCAGTATCACCAACTCTATTCTGTCCCGGGAAGCCTACCCACACATACCCCGACTTACGACTGACACAGCTTGACGAGGTCCTGGTCAGTAGTGCCTGGTTGCAAACCCCGGATGTAGAGGTTGGTTTTGCTCAGTTGGTCATTCCCGTTGCTCCCACTGCTGCTGTTGGGTGTACTGTTGCTTGGACTAGGTGGTGCCATCTGCTGAGACAACGACACATATGGCTGCAAGGAAGCATAAGGAACAGAGGTCAAAAAAATTATACAAGTAGATGTTAGAGTGAGAAACACCCTGGCACCTTGGAAAGAATGATTTCACCCTGGCTGGTTTGCTCAGTGGATAGAATGTTGGCCTGCGGACAGAAGGATCCTGGGTTCAATTCTGGTCAAGGGCACATGCTGGGTTTCAGGCTCGATCCCCAGTAGGGGGCGTGCAGGAGGCAGTAGATCAATGATTCTGTCTCATCACTGATGTTTCTTTCTCTCCCTTTTATCTATCTATCTATCTATCTATCTATCTATCTATCTATCTCTCTGTATATATTATACTAATAAAAGAGAAACAAGCAAATTGACCATACCTTTCCTATGCTCATAAGCCACACCCATAAGCCAATCAGGAGTGAGTATGCAAATTAGCCCAACCAAGATGGCTACGGCCATGGAGCCAGCAGGAGGCTTGGGTTTCTCCAGCGATGGAGGAAACCAAGCTTGTGGGCCAGCCCTGGCCTCCCTCAAGGCTACAAATTTTCAATTATAGAAGATAAATAAATCCCAGATACCAGGCCCTCCCCTTGGGTTGCCAAAGGGCGTGGCCAGCCTGCAAACCACCACAGGCCCTTCGCTCAGGCCACCCCATGCCCCATGGGAACCCCCACCCTGATCCAGGACACCCTTCAGGGCAAACCAGCTGGCCCTACCCATGCACCAGGCTTCTATCCTATCTAATAAAAGAATAATATGCAGATTGACCATCACTCCAACACACAAGATGCCTGCTCCATGTGGTCAAAGATCCTGCCCCCATGTGGACAAAGATGGCTACCACAAGATGGACAGCAAGGGAGGGCAGTTGGGAGGGACCAAGATTACAAGGGAGAGCAGTTGGGGTGATCAAGCCTTCTGGGAAGGGCAGTTAGGGGTGACCAGGCCAGCAGAGGAGGGAAGTTGGGGATAACTGGCCCTGCAGGGAAGGGCAGTTGGGGGGGGACCCAGGCCTGGAGGGGAGAGCAGTTGGGGGGGATCAGGCCGGCAGAGGAGGGCAGTTGGGGGTGATCAAACCTGTAGGGGAGGGCAGTTAGGGGTGACCAGGCATACAGGGGAGGGCAGTTAGGGGCAATCAGGCTGGCAGGGGAGCAATTAGGCATAAATCAGGCTGGCAAGGGAATGGTTAGGGGCTGATCAGGCTGGCAGGCAGAAGCAGTTAGGAAGCCAGGCAGGCGGGCAGTTGGGAGCCAGCAGTCCTGGGTTGTGAGAGGGATGTCCGACTGCCCTATTGGGATCAGACCTAAATGGGCAGTCGGACATCCCTCAAGGGGTCCCAGATTGGAGAGGGTGCAGGCTGGGCTGATGGACACCCCCTCCATGCATGAATTTATAATATAGTTAATATATATTAAAAAAAAAAAAAAAGAAAGAAAGGATGATTTTACACTTTAATAGCAATGAACTTGATAGGAGAGTTTAAAAAAATTCTAAAGGAATTCATGTCTGCCATAGAATAAATAAATACATAATTGTCTTACCTTTTAGGAATAATGAGGGTCAAAACAAGCTTGTTAAAGTTTTGAAAAAAAGGTACTTTGTTATAGTGAAATGTTTTTATCACCCAGATGGTAGAGAAAACAATGTACGCCTCTTAAGTAAACCATATCATTTAGACAAGACTAATAAAATGGAGGTTCCATTAAAAAATAATAAAGAGGAAATAATAAAAACTTGTCAAATCATGAAGGTAAAAATAAGTTGACCATTTTTATGAATAAGATTATTCATAAAACTGTAGAATAAGAACTGCAAAATACATGCAAGAGCTTGAAAACTACTGTAAATTTTGACAAATAAAATAAAATACTAATTACCATGTTGGGTAGTGAAAAATAAAATTTTTATAATGATATTAGGGTTCAGTCAAGTCTAAGGTATTTACAAATTTTAAAAGTTTAAATAGCCGAAACCGGTTTGGCTCAATGGATAGAGCGTCGGCTTGGGGACTGACGGGTCCCGGGTTCGATTCCGGTCAAGGGCATGTACCTTGGTTGCGGGCACATCCCCAGTAGGGGGTGTGCAAGAGGCAGCTGATCGATGACTCTCTCTCATCGATGTTTCTAACTCTCGATATCTCTCTCCCTTCCTCTCTGTACAAAATCAATAAAACATATTTAAAAATTAAAAAAATTAAAAATAAAAGTTTAAATAAATGAGTAACGGATACATTATGGTCAAGCAATCTAGGATGGGGTGAAACACCTCTTTCTTTCACTACTGATATAAGATGGTACCAGACTCTGCTAAACATCTTTAGGTACTTCTATTAGAGAGGAAACACCAGCCTAGCTGGGACATGGACCCATTCCATCATGGCATATTTTAGATCTGTATGCTCTGTGTTCACATAAAACTCTAAATCTGCATAATTACCTAGAATATAGTGCCTTTTACTACATCACACTAATATTCCAGTTCTCCACTGGCTTAAAGCACTTGATAAATAAATCTATTAGGAATCACTTTAAAATAGCAGTTTCATCTTCAGGTTTCTCTCTCTTTTTCTCTCTTATTTTGGTGGTGATGGTATTGAGAGATTGGGTTAGTAACAGCAGAAAACAGAACCATCAATATCAAAGAGGGAACTCTCCCCCTAAAGAATAGCAATTCATGTAAAAGATGCCTTTTATATTTCATGCCTCTGACCTTTAGCAAACTTCAAAATTAAAGTCTTGCCCACTGGTGTGGCTCAGCAGTTGAGCATCGATCGACACATAAGCAAGAGGTCGCTGGTCCGATTCCCAGTCAGGGCCCACGCCCGGGGTTGTGGGCTGCGGGCTCTGTCCCCGGCTGAGGAGGTGCAGGAGGCAGCGGGTCGGTGATGACGTTTCTATCTCGTTAATGTTTCTCTCTCTCTCCCCCTTACACTGTCTCTCTAAAAATCAATAAGAGCATGTTTTAAAAAAAATCCATAAAAACATTCCTTTAAATCTTAACTCAGGCTAAAGAATGTTAAAGCAGGTATTTCCCCGCCTTCATCAGGACAGACATATCTAGGAGATACTGCAGGGTCCTTCGGTTCTAGACCACCACAATAAAGTGAGTATTGCAATAAAGCAAGTCGCACACATTTTTTGGTTTCCTAGTGCATATAAAAGTTATGTTTTCACTATACCCTCGTTTATTAAGTGTACATAGCATTATGTCTAAAATATGTACTACATATTCCTTAATGAGAAAATACTTTATTACTAAAAAATGCTAAGCTTCATCTAAGCCTTCAGCCAATCATAATCTTTTTGCTGGTGAAGGGCCTTGCCTCAGGGTTGATGGCTGCTGACTGATCAGGGTGGTGGCTGCTAAAGGCAGGAGTGGCGGTGCCAATTTCTTAAAATAAGGCAACAATGAAGTTCACCACATGGACTGACTTCCTGTCACAAATGGTCTCTCTATATCATGTGATGCTGTTTGATAGCATATTAACCATAGAAGTTCTTTCAAAATTGGGGTCAATCCTCTCAAACCCTACCAATGCACGATCAACTGAGATTATGTCATATTCTAAATCCTTTCTTGTCATTTCAACAATCTTCCCAGCATCTTCACCAGGAGTAGATTCCATCTCACATACCACTCTCTTTGCTCATCGTTTGTTTTATCATGAGATTGCAGCAATTCAGTCATATCTTCTGGCTCTACCGATTTCCTGGCTCTTTCTTTTCCCACCATCCTTGTAGTTACTTCCTCCACTGAAATCCTGAACCCCTCAAAGTCATCACGAGTGTTGGAATCAACTTCTTCCGAACTCCTGTTAATGTTGGTATTTTGACTTTTCCCATAAATCTCAATGTTCTTAATGGCATACAAAACGGTGAGTCCTTTCCAGAAGGTTTTCAGTTTACGTTGCCCAGAACCCTCAGAGGAATCACTAACAATGGCAGCTACGGACTTATGAAATGTGTTTCTTTTTTCTATTTGTTTTTTAGAGAGGAAGGGAGAGGGAGAGAGAGAGAAAAACATGGGTGTTGAGAGAGAAACATCAATCGGTTGCTTCCTGTTCCCACCTCCCGAACCCGGACCAAAACCGCAACCTGGGCATGTGCCCTGACAAAATCAAACTGGCATCCTTTTGGTGCTCAGGATGATGCTTAACCAACTGAGCCACAGTAGCCAGACCTGAAATTCGTTTCTTAAATAATAAGACTTGAAAAGCAGAGTTACTCCTTGACTCATGGGCTGACAGAATGAAGGTTGTGTTCCATGATTACAACATTAATCTCCTGTGCATCTCCTCAGAGCTCTTGGGTGTCCAGGTGTGTTGTCAACGAACAGTAATATTGTGAAAGGAATCTTTTTTTCTGAGCAGTAGCTCTCAAAAGTGGGCTTAAAGTATTTAATAAATCATGTTGTAAACAGATATACTGTCATCCAAACTTGATTGTTCTATGACAAGGCACAGACAGAACAGATTTAGCGTAAATCTACTTACGAGCTCTAGGATTTGGGGAATGGTAAATGATCATTGGCATCAATTTAAAATCACCAGCTACATTAGCTCCTAATAAGAGAGGCAGCCTGCCCTTTGGAGCTTTGAAACCAGCATTAGTAGCTATGAAAGTCCTAAATGGCATCTTCTTCCATTACAGGGCTGTTTAGTCTCCATTGAAAATCCGTTGTTTAGTACAGATACCTTTATTAATTGTCTCAGCTAGATCTTCTGGAGAACTTGCTGCAGCTTCAACATCAGCACTTGCTGCTGCACTTTGTACTTTTAAAATTATACACACACACACACACACACACACACACATACACTAAAGACTTGGTGCATGAAATTCATGCATGGAGAGGTAGGGTGTCCTTCAGCCCAGTCTGCACCCTCTCCAATCTGGAATCTGGGACCCCTCGAGAGATGTCCGGTGGGATAGGGCCTAAACAGGCAGTCGGACATCCCTCTCACAGTCCAGGGCTGCTGGCTCCCAACTGCTTGCCTGCCTTCCTAATTACCCCTACCAGCT